ATTCCAAAAAGGGTGACCTGACAGAACGTGAAAATTATTCAACAGTATCACCGACATCACAAACAAACAAAATCCTGCTGAAGATTATCCAAAAACAACTGGAACAGTACAGTGACAAAGAACTACTAGAAATACAGGCTGAGTTTAGAAGAGATGGTGGCACCAGAGACATTACTGCCAATGTCGGATGGATCTTAGCTGAAAGCAAAGAGTCTGAGGGGAATGTCTATCTGTATTTCAATGTCTATCTGTGTTTCATTGACTATGCAAAGGCATTTGTGTAAATCACAACAAATTATGGCTAACCTTGAGGAGAATGGGAATTCCCAGAACACTTGACTGTGCTTATGAGAAACCTATACTTGGACCAGGACAGTCCTCAGAGTAGAATAAGAAAACACAGCATGGTTCAAAATTAGGAAAGGAGTGCATCAGTAATGTGTCTTTTCTTCATACTTTTTCAATCTATATGCAGAACAGATCATTTGAGAGGCTGGACTATATGAAGAAGAATGTGGCATCAGGACTGAAGGATGACTAATTAACACCCTGTGTTATACAAATGATACAACTTTGCTCTCCAAAACTAAGGAGGATCTGAAGTATTTGTTAAAGAAGGTCAGGACTGCAGTCTTCAATATGGATTGAAGATCAAGAAAACAAAAATTCTCACAATTTGGCCAACTGGCAGTATCATGACAGAGAAGAGATTGAGATTGTTAACAATGTCGCCTTGCTCAGATCCACAATCACCATTTTTGACATCAAGAGTCAGGAAATCAAGACAAACTGCATTGAGGAAGTCTGCTACTAGAGACTCTCCAAAATGCTAAAGAGCAATTATGTGAGTCTTGAGACTAAGGTGCACCTGATCCAAGCCATGATCTTCACAATTACTTGCTAAGCATCAGAAAGCTAGAAAATGACTAAGAATGACAGAAGAATTGATGCCTCTGAGTTGTGGTGCTGGAGAAGAATGTTGTGTATACAATGGGCCGCCAAGAAAACAAACAGGCCTGTCCTGGAGAGGGTGAAACTAGGCTGCTTCTTGGAGGCAAGTATTTTGAAACTCCATCTCACATACTTTGGGCATTGGAAGTCCTTGGAAGAGGAAATCATGCTTGGAAGAGTAGAGGACAGTGCAGGAGAAGAAGATCCTAGATGAGATAGACTGATACAGTGACTGTGGTAACGGAGGCAGGTGTGTCGGAGACTGTGAGGTTGGCTCGGGACAGGGCAGGCTTCAGAGCTATTGCTCATAGGGTTGCCATCAGTTGCAGAGAATTGGATGGTACACAGCAACAGCAACAACAACAACAACAACAGAGAGCCTTGCTGCCATCTTCATTTTTTCCACCACACAGGTAACCTGTATTTTAAGATTCTAGTTCATCCTCTTAGTTGTTTCTTTTTGTAAGAATAAAAAAATACACACATAAACATATTTTATTTCTCTTATATGTAAATACATTTTAAATTTCTATACTTTCAATCAATGGGAGAATGATGGGAAATCTCTTCCTGTGTGATTAACTACCTCTGAAAACCCACCAGAGGGTCAACTATCGGTCGATTCCAACTTGACAGTACTCAACAACATACTTTCTCAAACAAAAGGTAGCACATACCATATACACAATGTAGATGCGCTTTCTGCCTTACCAAATTAGTCCATATGAATATATTAGTTTTAACAGATTTATAGCATGAACTGTATGGAAATACCATAAAACCTGTATTTTGACTTCCATTTGTGGAAGTGTTATGTTTAGAATAGACTACAAATGAAGATGATAGTACAAAACAGTACTTATTTAATTTTGAAAAGATTATTAGTGTGTTGACATCATTAAATATTTATGAAAATATAAATTAATTTAACTCACATATGTATATTTGCTATAAATCTTTTGAGAAGATCAACTTGCATTCTACTGATCTTCTGCAGATTGGTTAACTCATTAATATCTACATTTTCATTAGTTTGGACTAAATCTGCTGATTATTTTCTAACTTCTTGAAATTAATAATATAATCTTTTCAGCTTCCTTATTTTCTAAAATATACATCTAAAAGTGGCCTTAGTTGCATCTGACAAGTTTTGCTCTGTAAGAATTACTTTTTTTTTTTTTTAGGAATTACTTATTTTTAACTTAACTGTATTATGATCAAATAATGACAGTTTCGTCTTTTATGTAAATGTTTCATCTTTTCTGTAAAAAAAAAATGTTGAGATTTGTTTTATAATGCAGTACACTGTGATTTCTTACCCTGTGACTTCTTACACTATTGTGTGTGTGCCTGAAAAGTAGGATTATTCTGCAGATGCTGGGTGTCTCATTAAAGCCCACTGTTGTCAAGTCACTTCTGACACACAGAAACCTTCTGGCGGGTTTCCAAGGTTGTAAACCTTTACAATAAGAGGCTGTCCATCTTCCACCCAAAGAGCAGCTAGTTGATTCAAATTGTTGACTTTTTTGTTCACAGCCCAGCACAGAAAATAAGATGCAACCAGAGCTCTTTATATTGCTTATACATGCCCATTACGTCAAGTTCAAATGTTCTATATCTTTACTGCTTTTTGTCTGCTCATTACCTCAGTTACTGAGTGAAGCATGTTAAAAATTTCAATGGTAATTTGATAATTCTATATACACTTGTTTTAAATTTTGCTTTAAGAACCGTAACTCTGATGGTGTAATGTGGGGAGTTGCTCTGCTAATCCAACTCTATCACCTTTCTGGCAGTTCTAGTTTACCAGTGGCTCTATGGGAGAGATTGGCAGCAATCTCCTCCCATGAGATTTACAGCCTTGAAAAACTAGTTCTGGGTCAGTTTTGACTCAATGTCAATGAGGAGGTGAATTCTGCTTTGTATATTACTATTCAGTCTATTTATATGGAATATATACAGTTTTAAAACTGCTAGACTTTCTGTGTGAATGGGGATCCCTGGAGGAGCTCTGAGGGTATAAACAGTAGCAAGCTGAGCTGCTAACTCAAAGGTGGTACATCTCTGGTCATCTGAATCCACCAGCGACTTCCAGGCAGAATACTAGGCAGTCTTTTCACTTAAAGATTTACAGCTGTAGAAGCTCCATGAAGGGTCACTGTGAGTCAGAATCAACTCAATGGCAGAGAGTTCTTTCCTTTGTAAATGGAATCTTTTAAGAGTATGTTGTTGTTACGTGCCATCGCGTCACCGGCAACTCATAGCGACTCTATGTACAACAGCCCTGAACCCTGCTCTATCCTGTGTCAATCTCAGTCTCCAACACACCTACCCCCATTACTCCAGTCACTGAATCAATCCATCTCATCGAGGGTCTTCCTCTCCTGCGCTGTCCCTCCACCCTCCCAAGCATGATGTTCTTCTCCAAGGACCAGTTCCTCCCTGCAACATGTCCAAAGTATGTCAGATGAAGCTTCAGAACCCTTGCCTCCAAGGAGCAGCATGGTCTCACACTCTCTAGGATGAACCTGTTTGTTCTCCTAGCAGTCTATGGTATATTCAGTACTCTTCTCCAGAACCACAGCCCAAAGGCATCAATTCTCCTTCTATCATCCCTAGTCACTGTCCAGCTTTCTGATGCATAGCAAGTCACTGCAAAGACCACGGCCTGGCTCAGGTGTAAAATGCTTATCTGTCAGATAATGTTCTAAATCTGAGCATTCAAATTAAGACAGACTAAAAAGAAGGATTGGTCATCCACTTCTGAAATACCAGGCCTTCCAATCTTTAATCTACAGTTCTTTAGCAAAATAAAAAATACCCAACTAGAGCTTCAAGTTCCTCAATGGTTTAAAAAATGTCCCATTTCCTTCACACAGGTTTGGTTGGTATGTCTCGTAATTTTTAATCTAGAGTCTGTTATCTAATATATTAGTCACTAGCCATATGTGACTATTTAAATGAAAAGATGTGGTACTTCAGTTGCACTAATCACATTTCAAGTGCGCAGCAGCCACACAGGACAATTGCCTACCACAGACACAGCACATTTCCATCACTTCAGGAAATTCTTGGACAATGCTGATTTAAGGTTTCTTTTTCATTTATTATTCTATTTTGTTTGTTTTGTAAACTCATAAAGCTTGCATTTTTTATGGCCTTTTCTTCTTAAAGTTAATGACTTTATTTCCTTTCTAGTAGCCTAAAAGCTGTAGTTTTTCACTATTCTTTTAGTGGTTAGCACTATGTGTCTGAGCTACTTAATCTTCAGATGCACCCATTTCCCTTTCCTCAAAAAAAGGTAACAATAATATCTAGTGTATATGTTCTGAATCATGATAGACACAACATGGATGGACCTTGAAACATGTTAAGTGAAGTAAGTTTAACACAAAAAGAAAAATATTGTATGATCTCAGTTATATGAAATAGCAAGCACAAACAAATGGACAGAAATACAAATGCATTATGGTTAGTGTTGTTGTTGTTAGGTGCTATCTAGTTGAGATGACTCACAGTCACCCCATGAACAAAAGGTTTGAACCCTGCTCTATCCTGCTCCAGCCTCACACTTCCTGATATATAAGAGCCCATTGCAGGAGGCACAGCGTCAATCCACTTGGTTGAGGGTCTTCCTCTCTCAGCATTAGGGGTGGATAATAAGGGAAAAGCCAAGTTCTTATTAAAGGAGCACTGAGTTTCTGTTAAGAATATTGACAAAATTTGGAAAATTTTTGGCAAAGGATAGTGGTGATGGTTGTATAACATGATAAATGTAATTATTATCTCTGAATTAAACATGTAAAACATGTTGAAAAGGGAAATGTTGTTATGTATAATAATACTACTGTAATAAAAACTATTCCTTACTTCATAGAACTGTGAGGGTTGAGTTAAAATATTGAAAATACTATAAATATGGCCAGACCCCTTTTACTTTCTCTGTGTTTTCTATTTTTCCTACATTCCTGATGCTGATTAGGTTCAGGCATGTTTACCCGTGCTTTTCCCTTGTACAAATAGTTAACTCTAAGGAGTGGATCACTTACGCGGCAGCGCAGAGAGCGTTTTATCAGCAGATGTTTGTGGCGAGGATAGAGCTGTGATGCACAGATTGGTTGGAAGTCTGGCTGTAGGAGGCGCTGCTGAAGGGTGGTCACTAGCACAAAAGGGAGAAGTCAGGATTAATTTACTAGAACCTGCTCAAACGTAGACTTTTACGTAGTCAGTAATTAAATGAAGCAATGCTGCCTTTTATTTTGACAAGATGATTTCACCATTGACAACTATGCCATGAAAAATCTCAGATAAGGCATATAGTAAGAAAAGCAGAATTAAAACAACTGACAAAGAAAGAAGCAGAATGTTTAAAAAGTACCCTCTGTTAAATTTACTGGTCTTGTGTAATAGTCCTCAGGTAGAGGTTCCACTTCTTCGACAGCCTGAGCTGGCTCAATCTTTATTTCTTTCTGGTCCTCTCCTTCTTTAAGGCTAAAAAGATAAAAGCCAGTGACTTTTCAGGTATATTTGACTACCCTCAAAGATTGTAATATCAATTATTGAAGTCTTCCTCTATTATAGAAGACATTTTTTTGTTTAGGCCACATCTAGTAGTCCAGCTAAACTTTTCTAAATATAAGAACATTCTTTTTTGGCAATTCTCACTTCATTCCTTCCCCCAACCCCCACCCCGCCCACTTTAAAATGTGATTTGAGGGAAAGGTTACAAAACATACTGTTTTAGTTAACTGCATATTTCATTCTTCAACATTCATTATAATACCTACAGTGTCTGATAGTCCATTCTTTCCATACTGTGTTTCATTTACCAATGTTAACTAATATTCATTATCTATTAATTAGTTTTCTACTCCCCTTCCCCTTCCTGGTAACCATTCTAGTATGTTTTTCTCTGTGTGTACCTTTCTTTATCTTTTGATAATAGTTATCTTATTCAGTACTTGCCCTTTTGTGACTGACTCAATTCACTAAGCATAAATGTCATCTAAGTTCATTTATATTATTTAATGTTTCACAAAGTCTTTAGTGTTTTTCAATGTTCAATAGTACTCCATTGTGTGTAAGATAGTTCTTTCCATTCATTTACCGATGGATACTTAGTTGGATTATTTCCAACTCTTTGCTATTGTGAATAATGTTGCAATATAAACATGACTTCTATTCATATCCTAGTTCTTATTTCTCTAAGATATATAATAACCTTATTTTTAAAGCATTCCTTCAGTATTAATTTCCACTTTTGCTTTTTTTCCTCAAAGCCATTTAATAATCGCACTTACGAAAGTCCAGCGAGGGTACTGATGGATGCACCAGCTCGTGGTCGCTGGAGTCTGGTTCCAAGACCATATTTGTCCTAAAGATGTTAAAGAAATTCTTATCAGAAATCCAATCTTTACACATCTGATTTATTCAGAACAAAATACTGGGAGGAGGGGCAGCATGAGAAGCTCAGCAAAATAAGCAAAAAAAAAGAAAAAGCTAATTGAAAAGCTTTTACAGACTAGTATGTAGCCCACGATCATTATCCTATTCTAAAACCACTGAACATTGAAACTAGCATCAGAGTAACTAAGCTATGGCTCCAGCCAGAACTATGTGGATGTCTAAGGTATACACTGAATGTCTTCCTGAATACCAGTTACGGACCATCCGCTAGTTTCTTCAGGGTCAGCAAGAATCATAAAAGGGAACTTACCACTACATGAATAGTGTGTTGCTGTGGACAGCCCAAAATAGCAGCAGGTTGCAACAGAGACAAAAAAATGCAGCATAAGATATGAGCAAACTCATACAGCAGGCAGGTTATACGGGAAAGTTGGGAGAATAGTGGGTTTAATTTAAATGCCTCTCTTAAATGTACACCAGTGCATACACTGCACATAACATTTGAAAAATCTGTGAAGTTTTCATTAAAATATTTGGTAAATGTATGTGGGTTTGCAAGTTTTAATGTGTATTCAATTCTAAATGTAGTATTTTTATGTGGGCCTTGCTATCCGTTTGGGTTTCAAATGACTTAACCAATTCTCTCAAGGAAGTTGGGTGAGAAATTACTTAACCATCTCAGGTCCCATTTCTCACATGTAAAATAGGGACAAACCATCTGTACCACAGGATTGTTGTATGCATAAAATAATGAATGTGTAAAGTGCTTAATATAGGATTTGGTACATTATCAGCACCCATAAAATGTTATTTACTGAACATCAACTTGCCTGGCTGCTAGAAAGCACAGCGAACAACTGCTCTGTGACAATCAATAAAACCTGGAAGCACCAATGAAAGCTCCAAACCCTAATATTTTCCTCCTCTTTTGATTGGTAGCATACAAGCTGGTAAAGAATGACTTCCATAAATATCTCTAAATGCATATATTATTTATTTACTACACAAATGAATGAAAAAGTCAGTGTTTTTCAGTAAATTATGTAAGAAGGACCCAAAAAGTATACAGTAACTTGAGTTAGGAAAGCCTGACTAGCAGGGTGTCACAGGAGGACTTCTGGGGTAATGTGAGTACAATCCACCACTGGGTCACCCTTCTACCTGACTTCCTGTAATATCCAAAAGCCATAAACAGTCGCATCCTATGGGACCTACATGATTAAACAGTATCTCCTTTGGGGAATAATCAGAAGAGAAAGGGAATTTATGGTGTAAGAAGCATCATTGTCTTAACTCAAAAAGCCATAGAACTGATGAGAAAAGTGTAACTCCTGGTCTTAACTGTGTGTATTTTGAGGACTCTCTCTGCTACCCATCATTCAGAAATCTAGGTACAAGGATCCCTTTCTGAGATGGTCACTATTCTCACGTCACACAAGTTGACCAATGAACAGAGAAGACCTTTTGGTACCAAACTCTCACCGAAAAAGCCAGAGGCATATAGTTCCGACGTCGAGCTAGTTTCTTGCGGTCTCGCTCAACTTTCTCTTTCTGAGCAAGCTGCTGGTAGTATTCAATCAGTTTGTTCATCTGTAAAAAACAAAAGATGCAGTATTTTACTCATGAGAAACCCAACAGGAAATATTAAAAAAAAATCATATAATGAATAGGGAAGACAAAATTATCAAGGTGGGCAAGCTGTCATTTTCGGGGCTTTGACTTTCTCTTCATTACATGGTCTGCTTTCAGAACTCAGATGGGACCTCCAAGTAACAAAAAGGAATAGACTGTAAAGGCTTGGGAAGGTACTCTATTTTCACTGCTCTTTTACATCATTACAAGTCTCTGAAGTTTTTGTTTTTTTTCACTTTCAGTATCATGAACTTTCTACCCAGGATAAATATGAATACATCAAATACCATCCTGTACAAATGCTGCTGTTACAGTACATGCCATCCAGTACAAATGTTGTTAGGTGCATTGACTCGCATGTGACTCACTGCGACCCTGTGAACAACAGAAGAGAACGGTGCCTGGTCCTGCGCCCGCTTCCTGCAGCCCATGGTTAGTCCCTGTGTCAACCTACTTCCTTGATGGCCAGCCAGAACTCCTTCCTTTTAAAGGCTGACCTTATTCCCTCACATGATATGCAATAATGTATTCAACAACTTCCCAGAAAACCTCTTAAATGGTCTCATAGTAGCTACTCTTGCCCTCTAAACTCAGCAACAAGTATTAGTACTTTTAGAAACGTGATCTTTAGAAACCATCTCCTTGATTAAAAAGAAAAAGGCTTCCCAAAGCCCTTCACTTGGTCCGCATAGTACTGCTTGGCTTGCCTCCAAATACCACTCTTCCTTAACCTAGTATTATTTACTGTTGTAGTTTGCCATCAAGTAGAAAGTGACCCATAACTGACCCTCCAGCAGGCTTTCAGAGGCTGTAAATAGCACTGAATTTATTCATTCAGAGCAGGTGGTAGATTGGAACCATGTGTCTTTGGGATTGCAATGTAGCTTCTTACTAATAGGCCACAAACATCCCTAATATCATTGACTGCCATTGTTGCAGTTATGTGCCATCAAATCACCTAAGACTCAAAGCCACCCCTATGTTCAACAGCTCTGAAACCTGCCCTATCCTGATCCAATCTCATCATCTCTGATAGACCCAATCCCACTTCTCCAGTGACTGAATCAATCCATCTCATCTTGGGTCTTCCTCTCCTATGCTGTACCTCCACAATTCCATGCATGATGTCCTTCTCCAAGGACTGGTCCCTCCTGTTCACATGTCCAAAATATGTGAGATGCAGCTTCAAAATCCTTGCTTCCAAGAAGCACCTTGGGTTCACCCTCTCCAGGACTGATCTGTTTGTTCTCCTTGCAGTCCATGGTATGTTCAACACTCTTCTCCAGCGTCACAACTCAAAGTTATTGATTCTTCTTCTATCATCCTTAGTCATTATCCAGCTCTGACGCATAGCAAGAAACTGCAAAAACCATGGCTTGTATCAGGAGCACCTGTGTCTTCAGAATGACAGCGCTGCTCTTCAGTACTCTAGAGAGGTCACTGACAGCACATTTCCCCAATGCAATTAGTCTTTTAATTTCCGGATTGCTGGTAGCAAGAGTAAGCTGAAGTTGCTAACAATCTCAACCTCTTCTCTACCATGAAGTTGCCAACTGACCCAGTGGTGAGAATCTTTGTTTTCCTGATGTTGAACTTCAATCTATACTGAAGACTACAGTCCTTGACCTTCTGCAGCATACGCCTCAAGTGCTCCTCAGTTTCAGCAAGCAAGGTTGTGTCATCTACATGATGCAGACTGTTGATGAATCTTCCTCCAAACTTGATTTCACATTGTTCCTCATAAAGTCCAGTCTCTGTTCTGCATACAGACTGAAAAGGCATGGAGACAGGACACATCCTTATGTATACCTTTCCTGATCCTGAACCATGCAGTCAGTGCTTCCTTGCTCTGATCTGACGACTGTGTTCTGGTCCAAGTATAGGTTTCACATGAGCACAATTAAGTGTTCTGGGATACCCATTCTCTTCAAAGTGAACCACAACTTGTGATCTACACAATCATACTCTCCTTCTTTTGGTTCTTATCTACAGGCTCCTTCCACGTGCAGTTCCTCTGACCCTGAGAGCCCTCCCTCTGTACCTGTTACCCCAGATCGCAGTGCAATACTCACATACCTACAAAGTTGACGTTACCCCTTGTAAATGTTCCCATGACACAATTTATTTCTCCTAAATGATTTCATTATTTGAATAAACTGGACAGTGACTAACACCACAACATTTACTTTGGGTTTTCTTTATTGTGGATTATTTTACTAATTTTGCTTTCACAATAAATGTAGGGTAGGGACCATGTATCACTACAGTTTAACTATGTATTACTGAAGCTTAAGTGCTTAAGACCTATTCCTGCACATTTTTCATTTTGAGTGTTTTTCATACTTCTAATTTTTGCTGATCTCATAGGTGAATAATTGTAAGTTACTGTTTTACTTTCACTTTGATTGCTCATATGTACATCATTTCTACTGCAGTTCATATTCTTACTTATATTTTAGCTCCAAGTGGTAAAAAAAAATTTTAAAAAGCTCTACAAAACAAGTGGTGTTTCCAAGAGGTAAATACATGCTTTAAATATTTTTTATTCTCTTTTAAACTTTTTTATTGTGATTTTAACAAAAGTTTACAAAAAAGTTGGATTTTTCACCCACATTTTCCTCCTTATCCCCCCAGGTGACTTTAAAAAAAAAATTCATTCATTGTTACAGAATTTCCTGCCTCCCCTCCCCCCCCAGTCCACTTTGCTATGCCCTGTTATTCTAGACTGTTGTCATACAAATAATATCCAATCATATGTTCCTTTTAAACAGTTCTTTATCTGTCCCAGTGCAGTCTTCATTATGAACATATTTTTAAGAGTATTTCAAGACAAAACGAACCTTACCTCAGTTGGTGGTTACCTGTAGAAAAAAACATAACCTGTTCTTCTGTTCTGATTCACAACTTAAGCACTGAAATAAAACTATACCTAGTTTTTCCTCAAGTCAGAGTAGAAGAAACAGCTTAGTCTTAAATGAGAGGAATCATGAAATAATAACTAAAAAACACACATCACATGTTTCTAAGCATAGAAGTACTTAGTACAGAAGATAGGCACTCTTTCCTTCCTTTTTTTCCCCTTATTTCTTTTCTAATGACTTTTACTTACTTACTCTTTGAGTGTGAGGATTTTCAGGTTCCTGCCAACCGCCACTAGCTGCAAAATAAACATCAGATAAAACTCTTACATTTGATAATTTTATTTTTATAAAAGCAAGTCATCTGCAGACTACAAAATCATACTAAAAAAAAAAAGAAAACATCACTTGCTTGAAAAAATTCTTTGAGATTATAAAGAGAACGGAGTTGTTTTTCTTTTCTTTTCTTTTTTTTTTTAAAAAAGCCTACAAAGCTAGATAACCAAAATATACATACCCACATCATTTACCACCAATAAGTCGAAGCCTACTACTACTGACCTTCCAATGGTATGGAAGGACATTATCTAACTTTCTTCCTAGAAACTGCCAGTGGATTTGAAGCACCAGAGAGGTTCAGCCTTTGGATTAGCAGTGAACTCCCTACAGACACCTCCAGAGCTTTTCATATACATATACATATATGATTTCCACCACCGCTACACATTATGGATAGCATTTTGGTCACACAATTTAAAATGCACTACACTTCCTTCTCATAAACATTACCTGAGGTAAAAACTATTATTAGCGTCATTTTGTAGATAAAGAAACTGAGGTTCAAAGAGCTTTACCAACTTGCCAATGGTCATGCAGACAGTAAGTGGTGGAGCTGGGATATACATCCAGGACTCTGACTCCTGGACCCTGCTCTTAGCCACAACACTGCAATTTCTATGTTCTGAGCAAATAGCACAAAGCATAAAGAACAAGCTTATTCAAGAAAGTGGAACGTAAAACTATATCTGATAGTTTCAACAACTGGATTCCAGATGGATGCAAAGAGCTCTGACCCTTACTTGACAACATATACAAAACTTAACCTGAAATAGGTCATACACTTATTTGCAAGTATTAAAACGATAAGATTTCTCATAAAAATACAGGCAAAAATCTTAGTGAAATTGGGTTAGGTTAAAAAGTCAATTTAACAAAACAAGTATTGTTTGTAAAAACTATTGTAAACGGGACTTCTTTAAAATTGGAGACTCGTGCTTTTCAAAAGGCACTGTTCAATAAAATAAAAAGACAAACCACAGAGTGGAAGAAAATGTTTGGAAAAGATACAATCAACAAAGAATTTGAATCCAGAATATATTAAACACTTTTACAATTCAATAAAAAGAGAAAACTTAATTTTTTAAATTAGGCAAGAGAAGTTTATTCAGCTATTTCACCAAACATATATGGATGGCAAATAAACACAAAGACAGAATTATTAAACAAAAGAAGATCAACGAGCTCACACAGTACAGTGAGTCAACAACTATGTGTCACGAACACAAAGACGGCATGGAAAAGTTGCAGAAGATGCAAACAGTATGGTTCCATTTGTTTAAAATGGAAAAGTACTATCTGTTTTGTTGTCCTTTTACTGTCGTGTTGAAACCGACCCACAGCTGACATCCCAGCAGGTTTCAGAGTAAATTACACAGGGGGTGACTGCCCGTCCTTTTCCTGTGGAGCAGCTGGTGGATTCAAACTGTACCTTTGCTCTGGCAGCACAACTCCTTACAACTACACCACCAGAGTGCCCTAACTGTGATCTGTTAGTGGCTACATATATATGTGGAGAAGTATAAAGATAAGGATAGCAATTAATAAACAATAAATTCCACATTGTGGTATAGCCCAGAGAGGCTGCAGATGAAGTCAGACGTATCGGAGGAAAACTACACAGGACTTAGACTGTTAGTAACGTTTCCTTTCTTAAACTAGGTGGGGAATACATGCAAGCATTTTTTATTATTATTATTTGTAACGAACCACTCAGTGCCATTATCAGGACCATTTCATCTCATGGTGACCATCCATTGTTTCTGAGCCTGTCATCTTTACAGGAGACAACTTTATTTTCTCCTGTGGAGCTGCTGGTAAATTTGAACTGTTAACCTTTTAGTTAGCAACCCAACATGCAACATACTATGTTTCTAGGGTTCCCTGTGCGTATAATTAAGCTAACTGAACCTAAACCAAAAAGAACTCAAGTATTCCACTAAAAGTGACACTGTCCTTGCAAAAAAAAATAGCAAACATAATATATTTTTATTACAATATTCCTATTTTGGAGATGTCTAACTTAAGGTATATGGCTTTCTATAAAGATGGTGCCAAAAGCAAAAAAAGGAGGCCCCTGCCCCTCGCAAAACTGAAGCCAAAGCAAAGGCGTTAAAGGCCAAGAAGACAGTCTTGACAGGCATTCACAGCCACAGAAAAAGGAAGATCTGCACGTCATCCACCTTCCGGCGGCCTAAGATTCTGAGACTCGGAAGGCAGCCCAAATACCCCTGGAAGAGCGCCCCCAGGAGAAACAAGCTTGACCACTATGCCATCATCAAGTTTCCCCTGACCACTGAGTCAGCCATGAAGAAGACAGAAGATAACAACACACTTGTGTTCATTGTGGATGTCAAAGCCAACAAGCACCAAATCAAACAAGCTGTAAAGAAGCTCTAAGACACTGATGTGGCTAAGGTCAATACCTTGATTAGGTGATGGAGAGAAGAAGGCCTATGGTCGACTTCTCCTGACTATGATGCTTTGAATGTTGCCAACATATAAACATCATATAATGGGATCATATAAACTGAATTCAGCTGGCTTATTCTACATACAAATTTTACATGCACACACACACACACACACACACACTATACGGGAGAACTGTTTTACTTATAATAGTATTTTTTTTAAATAAATAAATAAATGCTTTACCTAATAGCTTCTTTGGATCTGAGAATTTATTAAGCAATTCGGGAGACTCACAATGAACTCCTAAATTATTGTCTATACACTACTGACACAAAGGCTTCCTTATAAAAATAATTTGAACTAAAATGGTTTCAGGGACTCTCAGACACCAATGACATCAGAGAAAATGAAATTATTTGTACTTCCTAAGAGCTCCTTGGATTTAATTATCATTGTCAAGGTACCCTAGAGGGGAGAGGTTTCTAAAAGGTAAACACAGAAACTTCGTATTTAGTGTTGAAATACAAATTCTCGAATGCTGATTAGATTGTAACCCAAAAAGTATGAAACATTTCACTTTACAATGCAAACAGACTATGAAAATTATTTGGATTTCTGGCCTTTGTTTCTTTTACTTGCTATAAATAGAAAAAAAAAACCACAAACATGAACAATATACTATTTCAATGGGGCATGTAATATGTCATCTTGAGAATAAGTTGGTCATGTGATGTAAATTCTTAGCTAAAGTCTAACAACTTGGTACATGGTACATTGACACTTAAATATTGTTGTTGCTGTTGACTGCCTTCGAGTTGAGCACGACTCATAGTGACCCTATGAACAAAAGGCCTGAAGCCTCTCTATAACTACTGACATTTATCAAAAGTTCATAGAGTTTCTGGAGGCATGTTGTTTAGGAAGGGGATGCCACTCTAAAAAGATGCCACAGAGCCTTTGTAATGAAAACAACAGGTAAGGTAAAGTTTTAGACATGAAGTATTTAAAAAGATCCACTTGTTGAGCTTGTTTTCAAAAGGAGCATGTATTTTTATTATCAACTCAGAAAGCTGGAAAGCCAATGAAGAAGAGCTCAAGTATTTTGCATTGGCTAAAATTTCAGAATTTAAGAAACTTCTTCACCACACTTTTAAACTGGTGAAGAAGTTATAGAAATCTTTTAGTTAACATCCTTCTTCATTTTGGTTATGCCAAATAACATATGAGCCTGTTACAGGATTCCTGATAGATCAACTAAACCAGAATTTCTAGAAAAATTCCCAAATGGAAATTTTTTAGAAGAGTGAAAAGTTTTAAGAAGATTAAACAATGAAATCTCATAAAATGAGACAAAAAGGCAACAGGAAGTTAGTGATGCTATTTTAAGGCATAAATAATTACTCAAGATTTCGCTCATCATCTCTCCAATGTTAACTACGGAATCCCTGAGTGACTAAAATAGGCATGCTGAAAGGCTGGTGGTTTGATGTAAACCCACCCAGAGTGTCTGAAACGTGGGCCTGGTAATTTGTTTCCAAAGGCCACAGCCAGCTTCGAACACCCTATGGAGCAGCTCTCAGCACACATCGAGGCACCGGGAGTCAGAATCAACTTGAGGGCAACCAGCAACACAGAAAATGTAAAAGGAAAGGAAATCTGATAAACACACTTTCCTGAAATGCTCAAATGATCAGAAAATAAACAATGCCTTAAAATGGTCTTTAACTCTAAACATGAAATTTTTATTTGAATTATAAATGTCTTTCTTTCCACATATATATAGATATTATGCTGCTGTTATGTGCTGTCAAGTTGGAACTGACTCATCGCTGACCCTCCAGAAGATTTTCAAAGGCTATAAATAGCAATGGAGGAGATTGTTCATCTTTCTTTCTTCCTTGGAACAGCTGGTGAGTTCGAAACACCCACCTTTGGGCTGGCAACTCAACTTGTTACCTACTAGGTCACCAGAGTTCCATACACTTTTAAAATTTACACACAAATACAACCCTCTGAACACAACTGAGTGTTTTCCAGGTCTGGGACACAGAGTTGTTGGGCAGAATGATAAAAAGAATTTAAAATTTTAATTGTTGTTAGGGGCTGCTGAGTCAACTGTGGCTCACAGTGACCCTATGAACAAATCGGAACCTTGCTCTACCTATCCTATGCCATGTTCACAATCTCGGATATGCTCAAACCCACTGTTATAGCTATTGTGTCAATTCATCTTTTGAGACTGATCTTCTCCTTCTCTGACCCTCCACTCTTCTAAGCATAATGCCTTTTTCTAAGAACTAGTCCCTCCTTGGGATCCTGGCAGAAAACAAAGAATACTAGAGAGATGTCTATCTGTGTTTCACTGGCTAAACAAAGGTACTCAACTATCTGAATCACAACAAATTGTGGCTAACCTTGAGGAAAACGGGAATCCCAGAACACTTGATTGTGCCTATGCGAAACTTGAACTTGGGCCAGGAAGCAGTCCTCAGAACAGAGCAGGGAAACACTGCATGGTTCAAAATCAGGAAAGGAGTGCATCAGGAAT